CTGGATCTGAAGAGGAGCCGGGCTCTGTTGCCTCCACAGATGTTTTGGCGCTTTTCCATCAGTACCGGGAGAAACCAAAGTTGACACCTCGTTCCCGGCGTCCATTCTTGCAGTTGTATCGATTCGCTAAAATTCGTCAAAACACTATATTTTTGTGAGATAATTATTGCAACTAGCGTTGGCGCGAAATGTGCGAAACTTGGAAAACATCCATAAAAAAGCGTAGTGTAAAGTACACCATTAGTGCTATTTCCAAGAAAGCAATAAAATACTACATAAAATACGCAAATGCATATAAACCGAAAAGTCCATTTTAATGTTTACTATACTGGATTGACCCATTCGGTCTAATAGTTCATCGTTTATAGACATCATTGCTCGCTTCTATCGTAATGTCCATAATAAAACACAAAACTTCGGACAATAAACGCTTGTCCCGTCAATTGGTTCCCAAATAAACTAGCAAATCTTCGAGGTCCATGCAACAATATTCAGCATCCCTGTCTCGCGCCTCGCCTCCATTTTGCAATCCATCTGTGTCCTAACCTGGAAGATTCCAGCACCAGACACTTTCCTGTCCAGACTGAAAACAAAACTGATGTAACAAAATCACAGCCAAACAGAAGAGTATGCGGATGAGTTCTCTTTCACTCACAATGCATTGCACAGCGTGAAACACATACCTTGTACTTGCATGACTTCTGTGATGCGTCTCCAGATGGCATCCTATTTATGGTTTTTCTTTTCTTTTTATATTCTTTTTTTAAACATTAAGGCCCAATTCAATTAAAATGTTATGTACCGATAAAAGCTGGCAAAATTTACTTGGTATGTATACACATTTTAAACATGCAATCTTTCTCTGCTACAAAAATGAACCAAAATTATTCATTTTTATTCTTTATCTGACAAAAATATGCACATGCTCCTTTGTATATAATAGAAACAGCCTAATAAATTCCACATTGTAATCTATTAATGTATCAATTACTAGGCTATATGCCTTTGAACATGTAAATATATGCAAATTAAAAGTTAAATAATATTATACTACATAAAACCCGTTTAATGTACTTATATACAAAGTATTTACTTTTACCTGAAAGAAAAACCCCGCCTTGTTTACTTGGACATGATGGCCAAAATCATATTCTCACCGTTTAAGTCCTTGAAAGGATGATGGCCATGACATTCTGGACTTCTTCAAACCGGGACGGTTTCCGGTGTCCACGGCATAGCTCCGGTCCATGGTCCTGGGATTCAGGTACTTTTCCGTGTCGGAAAAGCCTCTCTGTCTCACCCGGTAGTTTTTGCGCGAGCCGAAAGAGTTCTGGATCTGAAGAGGAGCCGGGCTCTGTTGCCTCCACAGATGTTTTGGCGCTTTTCCATCAGTACCGGGAGAAACCAAAGTTGACACCTCGTTCCCGGCGTCCATTCTTGCAGTTGTATCGATTCGCTAAAATTCGTCAAAACACTATATTTTTGTGAGATAATTATTGCAACTAGCGTTGGCGCGAAATGTGCGAAACTTGGAAAACATCCATAAAAAAGCGTAGTGTAAAGTACACCATTAGTGCTATTTCCAAGAAAGCAATAAAATACTACATAAAATACGCAAATGCATATAAACCGAAAAGTCCATTTTAATGTTTACTATACTGGATTGACCCATTCGGTCTAATAGTTCATCGTTTATAGACATCATTGCTCGCTTCTATCGTAATGTCCATAATAAAACACAAAACTTCGGACAATAAACGCTTGTCCCGTCAAATTGGTTCCCAAATAAACTAGCAAATCTTCGAGGTCCATGCAACAATATCCAGCATCCCTGTCTCGCGCCTCGCCTGGACGGAAAAAACATCCAAGTGCTCTCATTCTCCTCTCCACTTCACAAAGAAGTGATGCTGGAAGGCGATCAATATTTATTCTGCACAGGTTGACTGACAGACCAGGGGGAGGAGCCTAATGCTCTTCGCACAATGCGGGAAACAACTTTGAGAAAACAAAACTTACCGGTATTTGTTTGTGCCGAATCAGTACGATGACGAAGAAAAAAACTCTACTTAAATGTTATTTATATATGTAAAATATGACCCTTTTCGGTCTGATGCAAAGGAAATCAATACAGTTATAGCATTATAAATGTACATAATATTTTTAAAATAAAACATATTATAAATATTATGTACATTTATAATGCTATACCTGTATTGATTTCCTTTGCATCACATTACTAAAAAAAACTAAATATTTAACTCTGCTGTGAAAGTGTTTCTAATACAGAGGCTCTGGAAGTAATAAATTGTACAATGTTCTCTCTTCTGACTGCAGTTATCAATCTCTCTCCTCTTTTTGAAAGTCACGAATATACTATTGTGGAGATTTTCTTTTGCTATTTGAGCAAATGGGAATGCAATAAAAATGTGTTTGATGTAGTCTCTTGTTCACAGCTAGAAGTCTACCCAATGATAATTTCCGCTTCTGAGAAACCTGGAAATGAGAAAAGGGTCTACATTTTCATTATTTCATATGCATTACAATTATATTTCACATTTTCCCCATAGCCTACATTATACATTACTATATTATATTTTAGAATTTTTCCCATTTAGTGCAGTTTGTGTACAGTGACTTTAAGCATCCTGACAGGTTTCCTCACATGAGCTGAGCAGTACTGACAGCATCCTTTAGGTGTCAGTTCAACCTGAGTGAACGATAATCACTAAACCACCACACAGAATCCTGAAGTTATAAGCATGAAATTATTTTTGACAGCAAATCTGTTCTTTGCCCCTTCTCTCTTTGATCTAAGATAGATTTTCAATCAAATACAATGTGAATCAACCCTCAGTTCAGGCACTAAAACCAAAGCGTTGTTCGAATGACTGTCCTGCATCTGACACAGCATTGACAGGAAGGCAATTCAAAGATAAGTGTGTGTAATAGAGAGGTGTTGGATAAAGCGCTCTTTCCATTAGAGCCAACAGGGGGAAGAAGTATTGAGACAATTTATCCAGTGAAGTCGGCATATTAGAATATTCACTGAATTGTAAAGAGGGGAGCATGACCTTGTGAATTACAGCCTGGCATAAAACAGGGAAATGATGCATACGCACAATCAAGATGCAAGGCTTATTCAGAGCAGAAGATGCAATTGAACACTGGGCAGTGTAACACAATTAAAATAATAGTTCATACTAGTGAGTTTCAGCAACATTTTCTGAAATATAAGGCAAAATCTTCATGCGTGTATGCATTATAGCAATTTTTCTTATGTTTAATGCAAAGTGTTCTTACCATTAAATTTCCAGTCCTCACAGTTGGAGACTGAGGCCTCCTGGGGTATTGAAAAAATGATTTACCATAATCAGATGGGAAAAACAAGCCCCGTGCGTATAAAGTCTATGTGCCGTAGATGGGAACTGATGTTGCGTATCGCTGAGCACTTGATTGACAGATTCTCCGTCTCTTGCTGACATGACTGTCAATCATCTTTTGCTGTAGACGCTAATTATGAGAAAGTTGCTAGCTATGATTGAGTTGTCTTTGGTTGGACTGTAATCATTCTTTGGACCACTGAACTGGTCCACCATGTTTTATCAAATGTCATGAGGCTACAAGGCCATGTAAAATCCAAAGACCTACAATAAAAAGTTTATATCTTTGGCAGTGTTTGTAATCTAAAACAATGGAACAATGCTTAATGGGAGAAGAAAAAAATGCAGCTAGATATATATTTAGATGAGATAGACTAAATAAAGGGGTGTGGTCTGTGCACATTCTCAAGAAAAATAAGAGCTGCTGACTCAAGGAAATCAGGTTACATCACTTGCTCACCAATAGATCCTCTGCTGTGAATGGGTGCCGTCAGAATAAGAGTTCAAACAGCTGAGAAAAACATCACAAAGTACACACAACAACACAACTCCAGTCCATTGATTAACCTCTTGTCTTCACTGGAGAAAGCAATTTTATGGATAGAGGCAAGAAGCAACGATTGCTTGTGGATTGTTGTGATGAATCAGCAGTTTGGACTGTCATTCTGACGGCACCCATTCACTGCAGAGGATCCATTGGTTAAAAAAACAATGTAATGCTAAATTTCTCCAAATCTGTTTTGATGAACAAACAAACTCATCTACTTCGATGGCCTGAGGGTGAGCAAATTTTAATTTCTGTGTGAACTATTCATTTAAACTAAAAATGTCAGTTTTTCCATTCAGCCTATGTTAATAATTTGACTGTCTGTTTACATTAAATGTTCGCAGAGGCTCTTTTCAAGTTTGTTCCAATGCTCAGACAATTTACCTTTAGTACAAACAGCATTTCACTTCTGTTTACACTGTTTGTATAGCATTTACCACTATTTGAATTTAGTGTAAACAAGATGATGTTTGTTGATATTTACACTTAGTGCAAACAGTAACGCTATTTACAATCCGTTCAAACAGTATCTACCTGCAGTTCATGATGATATCGATTTTAAGAACTTTACATGTTTACCTCGGTTCAGTTGGGTCACCAATTATTTTCTTCAGTAAAAGTAATGGAGGTTTTCTGATCTTTTACATACATGCAATAAAATGTGCTTGCTAAAATGATGACACAATATAAACATTTAGGCTACTGTATAGCCTAGCAATCAGAATCATCAAAGTGTATCACTGCCTTTGACTAAAACAAATGTTCTTGTAAAAAAATAAAAATAAAATAATCTCCAAAGCAAGAGGAAATAACCAGATCAAAAGTGCAATTAGCTCCGATGCATCTGTCAGGCAAAAGCGGATTTGAATTTTCTGTAAGAGGCTCTTTGACCCATGATGATTACATGTTTGAAAGTAAAAGTTTTTGTTTTAAGTCAAAATTGGCTTTTAATTTCTTCTAAAAAGTTGATAATATTGACTCATAGCAAATATATACATTCTTTGTTTCTGTTAAACGGAACAAAAACAATCATTGGCAATAACAAGAATAGAGAATACAGCCCAGCTGTTTACCTGCTTGTATCTGCGGAGGTGATGGCAATGAGTGGAGGTGCTCTCAAGGGGAGGCTGGTGGGTCGAGGCTGGGCCGTCTCAGTCTCTGGTTTTCTCTCACAGTAGTACTGCTCAGCCTGCCTGAAGGCCAAAGGGGGCAGCTGGACGGTTCGGCAGGAAAGCCTGCGGACTGCAAAGGGCTCCATGCAGGACAGTGGACATGAGTCTGGGGAGTCTGGGGAACATTCTGAGACCTGAGAAGGTGACGGTTTCATTAAGAGTCATTTCCCCAAACTCTTTACAGTTTTAGAGAATATATGAGACTTTTACAAAAAAAAATAGTCCACTCATTTAAGTAGAGATATGTGAACTGGTAAGGTATGAAAATGAATCAGTCCTCAGATAAACCTTCAGACTCAAGAATTTAAGTGCAGATTCTATTCACACTTTAGAACAATGACCGATTTGTTTTCTAATACGTTTTAAGTGTGATTTTTAGGCTTATACTAAAATTATTAACCTTAAAACAAGTTAATTTATTCATAACAACCAAATGAACCATTTGCTCTTAATTTTATAATGAATGAGTCACCTGTATTCCATTAAAGGGGTCATATGATGTTGCTAAAAAGAACATTATTTTGTGTATTTGGTGTAATGAAATGTGTTTATGCGGTTTAAGGTTAAAAAAACACATTTTCCACATACTGTACATTATTGTTTCTCCTCTATGCCCCGCCTTTCTGAAACGTGTCGATTTTTACAAAGCTCATCGGTCTGAAAAGCGAGGTGTGCTCTGATTGGCCAGCTATCCAGTGCATTGTGATTGGCCAAATACCTCAAGCGTGTGGCGGAAATGTTACTCCCCTTACCATACTGTGATGCCCTTTCCGGCCGGAACGACAATACAAAAACATTCAAACCCATTATTGTCTTTTTACGCGTTGCATCGCACCACGTAAACATAAAACAGCAAGCGCTACTCTACACTGCTCAAAACTCATGTTTGAATCGTCAGTGGCAAATTCTTTAATATAAAAAAGTCCTCTATAAAATGTGCTGCACACATCTGAATATTTGGGTTGAACTGTTCTGGAACAGTGTTGTAAATACAATGGCGGACTTGAGAACGGTGCGGCCAGCGGATTCAACGAAGGAGCAGCCGGCGGGCTTGCGGCAATCACATGTGACGACCCCGGGCTGGGCTCCGCTTCGTCCACGGTGAAAGCCGATCCGGCGATCCACAGCACAAAGTTGATGTATTTCCGCAGCGACCAGCACAGATCAGCTCTAGGCATGACGAAGCGGATATAGTCCTCTTTTGGAAGGCCAAACAAAGTAGTTTCGCTTTCATAACGAAACACACAGCGCCTTCACGACATGGCGGCAGCAACAATACTACAGCGAGAATAAAAGTTACGCCTTCTTTCTTTGTGTGAACATTTGGGTGGCGTTATGCAAATCTTCCCACATCGTGATGTAGACATGTGGGGGCGTGTTAGAACGAGCGGTTTTAGGTAGGCGTGGTTTTGTAAAGAATATCTCTTTGGATTTGAGACTTTAGTCTTTGCAACTTTACAGATCTTCTTTATGCACCAAGAGCTCGTATCACTTCAAAGAGAAAGGAAAAATTGAAATCGCATCGTTTGACCCCTTTAACCTTGGCTTTTTACATGTACAGCAAAATAATAAGAAATGTTACTGGAGCACCAAATCAGCATATTAAAGTGATTTCTAAAGAATCATGTGACAAATATCCATCCATCCATTTATCATTCCTGTTTGTTGCGATTATAAGTCCTCTCTTCTTTTGACAATATGCTCTGAAGACACATGAGAGAACCCTCACTCCCTCTGGATACAACAAGGAGATATCGATTTGATACAGAGAGACCAGCTCTCTTCAAACAGCTTCAGGACAAAGTCGAAAACACAAATCACCATTGATTCACACAAAAAGGCTCCCCACTCATTTTCCTTCAGGCACCAACCCCCAAATGCAATGAAAAACAGTTCAATTATCCTGAAAGATACATCATTTCATCATTCGTAGTCAAAAAAACATTCAGATATTTGACTGAAAAGAAAATGACTCCGTACCTGTGCTCAAAGACAAGTCTACAAGGTATTTACTTATTTTCTAACATTGACATTTTCCACATTTTAACATTGACATTATCTCTCAGGAGGTTTACATTAAAATTTATCACCTCATACATTATTAATTACTCAATTGTGTTCACTCAGATAGTTCTGCAAGCACAGGTATCCCATGTGAACGGAAGAGTTTAAAATAGTTCTGGCCTTCAGGAACAATTAATTTACCTCTTCACAGGAAGCAAGTTAGATGTGTCTCAATGCCATTGTAGGTGGTTTAGAGGACAAAAGTGTGAATGCAAAGGGACATTTCATCTGTATACTCAAGTTTCATGCTTGAAATATCATTTAAAAATGAAATCAGTTGGACTTTGAATACAACTAAGTATGTTTGTGTATTTTAAATAAAACATACATATATACACAAACATTATATATTAAATTGCATCTTTTTAACAGACTATTTTAGCTTTGATAAATCAGATAATAACTAAAAAACTAATTTTCTATCTAAATAATAACTGCCCAACTGTGAAAATAAATGTCTTTTGACTCTAGGTGAAATCAGTAAACAATGTCTCACCTTTCTACTCTAATGGCTGCAGTCACATCCCGTGAAAAACACATTAACTGCAAAGAAACACGCTCTCTGTCGGGGGGAACACCCCAATCTTATTGCCTGAATGAAATATGCAAACCATCAGTGGACTCATAAATAAATAAGTGAGTAAATACGCAAACCTTTGATCCAATTAACAGTGTTTTCACAGAGGCGCTGAATATATAAACATTTTAATAATCGTCACTGATGCTTTGTAGAGCTCCACTGCATTTGAAATATTGAAAATGTGATTTCAGAAAGGAATGATTAAGGTGGCACATGGGTAAAGACCGGCACCCAAACAAGATGCTTTATCAAGTGAGATTTGATGATATTTAACTAGCAGGCTTCAAAGCAGATTTCTTCTTTTACTGTGGATTGAAATCTACATTTTCAGAAATGCTCAGGGATTCAGTCATCAGGTATCTGAACGCGCTCATATGAATTTTAGGGAAGGTAAATCACTTGGATGTTTAATTTGTCATTCCAACACTAAAGAACAATACACTGCTCATTTAATGATGATAAAGACAGATTGACGGGTGATTTAAAAATTAAAGCAGACTAAATGAGCTGCAACTCAAACATAAAGGCACTTCTGACCAGTGTTGGGGAAAGTTACTTTTAAAAGTAATGCATTACAACATTGCATTACGCCATAAAAAAAGTAACTAATTACATTACTTAGTTACTTTTTTATGGAAAGTAATGTGTTACGTTACTTTTGCGCTACTTTTTAAATCTGGACAGGGCTTGCTTGTTTGTTTTTAAAATAAAAAAGTTATATTTTTGGCAAATATAAAAGCCTTTTCACACCAAAAGTGAAATGAATAAGCCTCAGGCTGAAGGGAAAGTAAATTTACGTCCGTACACTCTAAAAAAAATGCTGGGTTGTTTTAACCCAATGTTGGGTCAAATATGGACTAACCCAACTGTTGGGTTAAAAAGCTAATTTAAAAATGTAACAAAAATTTAACCCAACAGTTGGGTTAGTCCATATTTGACCCAACATTGGGTTAAAACAACCCAGCATACACAAATGTTTGTCTAGAGTAATTTGTGCTTATTAGTACGGTTGAACTGGATCATCGAAGGTCAGAAGCAAAGACATTGGTTAATAGAATGGGAATACATACATAAAGGATATTTGTGTTGTTTAACATTTAATTATTGCAGGTTTGCGTCATATTCTGATTTGCATTATTTTTATTCATTTTGAGGAATACTGAATCTGTGTGTTTTTTTTTGTTAGTGAGATGAATGAATGCATATTCATATTTATTTTAGAACTACAGTAACATCTTCTGATTTCTCTCAACATGGAGACAGGAGAGCTGTCAATCAATAAATTGAAAAAAAAAGTAACATGCATTACTTATTTGAAAAAGTAACTCGGATATTCTCTTGTAAATTAAAAAGTAATGCGTTACTTTACTAGTTACTTGAAAAAAGTAATCCGATTACGTAACTTGCATTACTTGTAATATATTACCCCCAACACTGCTTCTGACATTAAAAAATTTATATATTTTAGATATCACAGAGCCCTGAAATGTGGAGCTAAAGCACCAGAAATGAATCAGAGTGATATGAAGTTATTGCCCCTGGCTTTTGTGATGTGAGCAGTAACGCAGGTTACACAGGTGATGACAGTCTCTTAACATGTCGCCTGGAGCTAAATGACAGCAGATCAATGACAAATCTCAATTCATTAATCTTCTTATAAAGGACTACACTTCATCTGCCTCCTTGGGACTAGTTCTGTAATGATATATTTCAGAGACATATTTCTGTTTAATAACTTACATACAGGCAGTACAAGGCTAAAGGCCTCCCAGGATATAGATAAAAAACACTTGGTTTTATGTTCACAAACTGCTAAATAGCTGCCACTTGAAATACTTGCCACTATGCGATACAAAACTGTCTCGTCTACAATTTTATAGTGTACTGGGTAATACTTTATTTTAAGGACCAATTCTCACTATTAATTAGTTGCTTATTAGCATGCATATTACCTAGCATATTGGTTGTTTATTAGATTTTTTATTACATACATTTGAAAAAAAATTTAATGAATAAGTAAAATATTTTACTTGTTTCAAGTATGTGAAAGATAATGCTATACTTGTAGCACTATAGCAGCTCCCTGGAGACCTTTTTACCCCACATTATATTAACATAAATATATATTTTACCATCTTGTTTTATACAAATCTATATTACATTGAAAAAAACATCATCACAGACTACCAATTTAAAAGTTTAACCACAATAAATGTTTTGGGTCTGTAACAATGTTGCCAGGTTGTTTTTCATCTGTGCGGGTTTAATTGACCTCAATAACGTGATATTTAGCCCCTAAAATGAGAATTTTAACTGGGGAACCCCACCAAAAAACGTGTATTGTATAAAACGTGTAACCGTGTAAAATGTCATTTATTCCTGTGATGCAAAGCTGAATTTTCAGCATCATTACTCCAGTCTGTATGTGAAAGATAATGCTATACTTGTAGCACTATAGCAGCTCCCTGGAGACCTTTTTACCCCACATTATATTAACATAAATATATATTTTACCATCTTGTTTTATACAAATTATATTGCTCTATCTATATTACATTGAAAAAAACATCATCACAGACTACCAATTTAAAAGTTTAACCACAATAAATGTTTTGGGTCTGTAACAATGTTGCCAGGTTGTTTTTCATCTGTGCGGGTTTAATTGACCTCAATAACGTGATATTTAGCCCCTAAAATGAGAATTTTAACTGGGGAACCCCACCAAAAAACGTGTATTGTATAAAACGTGTAACCGTGTAAAATGTCATTTATTCCTGTGATGCAAAGCTGAATTTTCAGCATCATTACTCCAGTCTTCAGTGTCACATGATCCTTCAGAAATCATTCTATCATGCTGATTTAGTGTTCAAAACACTTTTATTATTATTTATATTGAAAACGGTTGTGCTGCTTAATATCTGTGGAAACTTATTTTTAGGATTCTTTAATTAATAGAAATAGAAATCTTTTGTAACATTATAAATCATCAATTTAATACATCCTTTCTAAATAAAAGTATCCATTTATAAATAAATATCTTACTGGCCCCAAACATTTGGACAGTTGTACACATATGCACATTCCTCATATAGCGGAATATGTGCAAAAAATGCACTTCTAAGTGCTGCACAAGGACACTAAGTTGGTAGAGGAACTCTGCAACACTCCAGTTCATGGGTCACTGCCTCTGGGGCTTCAGTTTTGGACCACCACTGGTTTACAGCTCAGATCATTAATCACTGCCACAAAATTGTTTGCAAGTACTGGTAAATAACCCATTTAGGGCAACCGATTTCCAAGGTAATGCTTTTTTTGTAACAACAGTCACAAACCCTTCTGTAGGCAAGGTTCAATTGACAATGTACTTTATCACAGGTGAAAGCAGCAACATTCCCTTTGTTCCCTTCATTTATAAAGTGAAAACATCTTCGTGAAAAATCATTTGAACCTGTACCATCTGTTCTGAGTTTTAACCAAAAAAGCTAGCTGCTTAAACCTCTTAACTGACTCCAATAACTACTCAATGCTTGTAAAATGTCCAGTGAGATCAATAAAAGTTACACATATTGATTTTAATTGTCTGTGCATGTGTATGGCATGAATGATTGCAGTGCACTCACGCTCTCCAATTGACTTTCTCCGCTGCAGGCATTCTCTTGCATTGTTTGTCCCCCAGATAAAAGTTGAGGTTTCAGCCTCAGAACGTAGAAAGTCCTAGAACAAATCAAAGGAGGTTTGTCATCACATAAATCACGAGACTCTAGTAAAATAAGTTGATAACAGACACCAAATGTCCACATTTTGGCTCCAAATCCCATTTTGACTACTACCAGCATACAAAAACATCTTGTGCAGTTCTGGCATCAGAAATTGCATTTGAATAAATGCACTTTTCTTTTCATCAGCGAGTCTGTAGTCCTTGAGGACAAGCTGATAATCTAGGAACCAACAGTTCAAGTGCTAGTTTTGCATGAAAAAGAAATTATACTGTTTTCAAAAGTATAGACTGCAACGTGCCACACACATACACAGAGCTGTGTCGCTTTTCTCTTTACATTTAGGATAATCATTGTATGTATTTGATTTGACCTTATGGAATTATGGTGTACATGTCTTAAATTAGAGCTCCATAAATTATTCATGAGGCAGAACAAGCTCTGTCCTATTTGAAGTTGGCCAGTTCTGCAAAGTCACTTGTTTTACAAAGTCACTTTCAATACAGCAAGAAAAACCAAACTGAATCTTTGACAGATGCTTCCTGCTTTGAATAATCTTAAAACTTAAAGTTAGCAGTTCAAGAATTTCTTCTAGGCATCCTTGGTTTAAAAATAGGCATGTACATACAGAATTTTATAACAGTAAAAGGAGATTCCTAACTGTGAGGTATTCTAAAACCTAAAACATAATAAAATATTTCCATTATAAGTGTGGGTGATTATTCATGGCAATGCATTGTTATTAGCTATTAGGCGCAGCTCTGCTGATCTGAAGAAACACTTCTATAATTCAAAAGGTGAATTCAGTCTTTCCTCTAACTGGATTCCAGAAAACATAATCAGTTCAGAACTGTACTGATTAATTACTTTATCATTAATAAAATTATATATATACAAGTACAGTATTTTAACCCAAAAGTGAAAAGGTTCTTTACTGGCATATGGTTCCATGAAGAACCTTTCATATCAATGCATCAATGGCACATTTCCATCACACAAAAGGTGGAATATAAATACAAAATAGTGAGAAAAGGTTCTTTAGATTATTCAAATGTTTCTTAGACAAAGAAAAAACGGTTCTTTTGAAAACAGGACCCAAAAATATTCCTTTATGGTATCATTTATAAAACCGCCTTTTTGGAAACTTTATTTCTGAGAGTGTAGTGATACATCATAAAGGCAACTGGGATAATAAAAATCAAAAAGACCTTTTAAACCAGGGAGTCTTTAGCCTTGTTGTACCCACAAACCAAACACAGAGTAGAGAGGAAGGGGAAAAAATTGTTTTAAATTCAAGCTGAAGCTGAAATCAACAGACGTAGCACAAATATACAGAATGTGATAAGCTAAACTTGCAAAAAATGAAAACAAACTACACGCTAAAACAAAATTTGGAAAGAATGCTATAAACAATCTTTTCTTACAGAGCATTTCCCTATTCATATTGTAAATAGCTGTGTAACATGAAATATCTAAGGAAGGCAATGAAATGTCAAAGAAATTAAATTTTTCCCCAAATAATCTTCATAACCTGAAGTCTCTATCTCCATCTAGTGGCTATATTGGTGCAGAATCAATTCACTTCCAATTTGTGTTTAGCTTGCTGAATCTGCAGAAAAAGAGTGATATAAACAGACCTTTCTGTATACTTGTATAGGTATATTTCAGGACTTGTACTAAATGTGAAAGATTTCTGATCACTGTTTGATTTTCATCTAGAAATTTTAGTCACAAAACTACTACAGCTCCCTTGACATTGTACTATTTACAGTGGAAAGTACCGTGTTTTAGAAAGAGGGCCCCATGTCTCAGTAACTGCTGAAAATGTAAACTCTCTCTCAGACAATTATTTCCCCAGTCAAATATTTGTGAGTGTCACAGGCTAACATAGGCATATGTCAATTATTGTTTACAGAATATTTTCCATGGGAAGCACAACACAACCTTTTCTATATTCTTTTCGGCCAAAGTAATCCATCAAGCACTTGTAGTTGATATGATCATGCAAAACCCACAGTGTCCTCTATAAAATAAATGATCTTTAATTCATGCATATGGCATGTTGTTGTATGGCAAGTTATTTTCCTTGTGCTTTCTGCAAGGAAGAACGATATTTGTATGCTTAGGAAATGTTTACACCGCAAAGGCAAAAGCCATGTCATGTCATACATGCAATCGCAAATCTAACGTATACAAAGATAACCATCAACAGGAAACCAGAGGGCTTCATATGTAACATTTAGCACAGTATGGTCATATATATTAACTTTTGTATATCAGCATTGCCATTACTGCATCTTTAAATGTCAGTTCCTCACATGTTGCCTTGCCATCTGTGTTTCTGCTGAGGTTATTGAACTTTTAACGTGTCATGAGAGAGTTTGGGGAAAATTTTCCTTCTTGATGTTCTTCCAGAAATGGTTTTTCAACCTCTCCACACAGGATGCTAGATGAGGCATTTCAAACACAATCTTAAAATGGAAAATGAGCAAAGGCTTTTTTATTCCATATACACCATCGGGGGAGAAGAAAAGATGTAAGATCAAGAAGCTGTCACGTTACACGGTTCTCACAATAGAACAAGACGGCCTTGATGTATGCTAATAGCCATCTGCTTAAGTTTAGCCAGTGATAGATTGTCTGTTAACGAATGTAAATGTAAATACAATATGTATTTGTAAATATGATTAAGACAGTTAATGTGATGCAGACAAACTTCTGCCATTAAACTGTACAAGATTTGTCATTATGAGTTACACTGACATCTAGCTGTGTGGATGATGCATCATAAAAACATTTTTGCTTACCTATGCCATTTTAAAAATGCACCATCTTCACTCAGCCATCCTAAATGTATTTAGTGAGCGAAATGTTTGATGAAAAGGGGGCTAAAAATAAAGAGAGTAGTATTGACTTGGTCAAGTGACTCTAAGAGGCAACCTGGTACATCCAAAATAAAACCACTTTAATTCAGCTACACTCAAAAAAATGCCGGGTTAAATATAACCCAGCACTGGGTTATATTTAACCCAGCATTTTTTAGTGTACTAATATTACTAGAGTCTTGATATTTTGTGAATGGAGGATTTGAAACTTATAACAGTCCTATTCAATTTTGACAATGTAATGAATTATTCTTCAAAGTCGTAAATAAAACAGATTACTGTATGGTTTATAAGAAAATATATTTCAGTCTTTTTACATCAAAATTCCATGTTTAATTTAATGAGTAACTTGCTGTACCATTAAAATTATTTGTGAAATTTATAGCAAATATTTGAAATATTTGAAAGTGAGTGAAAATGGTTTCCTAGCTTTTCCGAAGTGTATGAAAATATAGAGCGCACTTAACATAAAAAAGAACAACCTAGACTTGCCTAGATTGTCTGGCATTTATATAATAAGCATGAAACAACAGTGTGAACATGTGCTTGTCTCGAGTCACTGGATCATCAATTCTCAGACATGCCTGCACATTTTCCAACCATTTGTAATATGTTTGAAATCAAATATACTACCTTAATTGTACCTAATGAGGGCTCCGAAACTGATGGCAAAAGAGCAGGAAAAAATGTCTGTTACCAAGAGCAATCAAAACACAGCCAACTTCCCCCGTCCCTAATATTTCAGTGAACTACAAACAGTAATTTGCATGGGAGAAGCTTACACAAACGTTTAAATGTTCAAAGCAACAAAGGGCACTGGACAGCCAACCAAAGGTGGAGGTTTAAATTAAGTCTCCAGTTACATCCGCGCACACAAGCGTTTAAAGCATAACATTCACAGTTCGTGAGGGAGAGGTGTTAGAGAACAGCAGGGGTCTGTACCCCTTACAAGTTTTAAGGCCAGTTGTTACAAGTAAAAATTACCCAGCGTTGCTATAAATGCAGCGATACTGTGCTTTAAAATGTCATAAGGAACCGATTAGGAGCACAGATGTTTTAGAGGGGAAGGGTGGTGTCATCATGACATCATTAGCTGGCCTTCTTGACATCATATATCATCGCACTCCCTTTTGAACGTTTCAAAATCAGAAACATTCCAGATTCAGCATGTCTGAACATCGTTAAAGCACACTGGATTGTTACATTTCCCATTATTAAAAAATACTGGATCATAAAATAAAATTCGTGTTTTGACATCTTGTCAATGTTCAAGTACACTGTGTGACTTTTTATATATATATATATATATATATATATATATATATAGTAGTTGTTACTAAAAGTAGTTACTAAAAGCAACTAAAAGTAGTTGTTAGACTTACATACGGACAAAAATAGGTATGAAATTGCTGATAAACTAGTGGGATTTTTCCAGATCTAGGAATGATTTTTAACTATTTTGAATGCGTCCATTCATCAAGCTCGAGTTGCTTTGTGTATGATTTCTAAGATCATGTAACACAAAATGTATAACATGTTACGATGTGCAATAAATGTATTCTTTAAATAACTGAGTAATCTACTTTAATTTATTTGGTACTGTAATTTATTACATTTTAATGTGTATTTTATTATTATTATTAGTCATAGTGGTATATTTATATTATACAAATTATTTCTCTTTTTTTATTATTTTATTCTTTTTGTGACTGGCATAAGAGGGATGAGGAGGAGATTTAGTGTTATTGTTTGTAAAATGTAAAATTATAAAATACTGGTTTTACCTATATGTAAATACAAAAAAAAAAGTTGTTCAGAAATCATTTCAATACAAAACTGCATCTCTCCATCCTCAAAAATAGTGGGTTCATAGTATGCAAAAATCATAACTTCATGTGACATGAAGTCAGAGTCACTCCCACACAGTCATGAGCTAGCTTTTACACACGACATAATTTCGTAGGGGAAACACTGACATGTGGAAGGAAAACACAAGAGCAGCTACAATATCGTCAGTTGGACACAAGCTTGATGGTCGACTATAATGCCTCTCTTTACTATGATTATGATACAATAAGACATTCCAGTTCACTGTGAGTGCAGGCTGCTTTGGGGTGCTCTATTTATAGATTAAAGGATGCAAAAGCCACCAAACGTCACTCTTCTAAAAGAAACTTTTGCATGCGTTGCAACGATGAGTTAGCTGAACAGGTCAGGTGCCCAAAAGTCACCTTGCACCTGCCTCTCCTTTTCCACATGCCATAAAGCTCAAAAAGACACGTGCTAGCAGGCAGTTCTAGACCAGATGGACGGTGACAGCGGGAAAAGCATGAGAAGACAGGTTTGTAGGGTACAGAAACATTCTCTCTATACCTTTGGGAGGTACATATAGAAGAAAAAGGGAGTGAATAAAGTGTGAATGGGAACTTACTCTTCTGATCCCGATAGTCACTGCGATACAGTCCAGCTGAAACAGAACAGAATGTCTGTCTAAGTCCCCTTTGCTTCCTGTGACACTGTGCCTTGTGCTGTGATGCTCTTTGGTTTAAGGACTGAAGAATATCAGAGTTCCCAGCCTCTCAGCCAATCAGAGCGCTCAGCTTCCCCCCACCCCTCCCTAAAGTTTCTCCAGCAGAGACTGGAGAGATGTTTTAAAAAGCAGGGGCCACTGCAGCATCACATCGGGATGCTTGTATGTCTCAAATTGTCAAGCACAAGAGCCACAAGAGTGTTTGTGTCACCATGGGAATACTGCAATAAGCAGAGAGTTTTCTTTTGGAAATGAATCGTCAAAATTGGACGTCAGACATCAGTTGTGGTACTCGCACTGTTTACCTCTGTGGTCCCTTTGGAGGCTGCAGTTCTCATTTCACATGCCCTGTGACTGGTCTCTGCATCGTTGTTAGTGATCAGGAGAGAATGGGGCTAGTTGTCACACTTCATACTTCTGAAAAATGTCATTTTATAGAAGCATACAGTACACCTTAAAATCAAAGTCACAAACAAGCTATTGAACACTTCCAGCATTATGTGGAAAAAGATGTTGTTAATTAAACTTAAACTGATCGTTTGTGACAACATGGCTTAACGGCAAAATTCAAACAGTGAAGCTCTTATGAAACGCAAAAAGATTCAAGAAAAACAGTGTGAAAAAGCAATGTACAAAAATGTTTGGGAAAATAATACTGAATTTATAACATTTAAAAACTTGTTCTGTTCTGACGTTCATGAAACATACCCTTGTCCTGAGCAACAAAAACTAAAAAAAACAATATTTCACAATATTTAGCAGCATGTTGAAAACTACATTACCCATGAAGCTGCAAAGACCTCTCCACCAATCAGAGAATCGAAACAAATCGGAGCAAATCTTGAAATAAATAAATAAACAAATGTTCACTTTTAAAAAACAAAACACACAATCAACCTCTTGAAATTAATATTTAGCTATTGTTTAAAGTACACAGTCTTGGCCTTTATTTTGCCAGATCTTCCAATACATTTTTGCTTCAATTCATGCATTAGCTTCAAATTTTGTAAATTAGGTGATTGATTTGGTTCATTGCTTATAACTGTTTAACAAAGAGATTTTTTAAATCTCCATGGGAAAAGTGAATGGAAAAAATTATTCAAGAACCAAGCCTGAAAAAGTGGGCAGACCATGGATAATTGTGGAAATATCTGACCAGTCAATGTTACGACCGACCAACCAGAATCAAGTATTACAAAGCGCTGTGTAATAAAACAAATAATAATAACAAATAATAATCACACACATATGGAACTAATCTGCTCTATATTGTCATAGTCTAGTAGTTTATGTTCTCAGGGTCTAGCCACCTTCAAGTGGGCAAGGGAAGCAAACAAATCATATTTTGTAATAGATTACTCTTGGATATCTAGTTACGTACTTTAAATAAACTCATTACTAACATTTTTGTGAGGCACTGTCTGAAGTTCCTATGTTATATGTTTGTTATTGTTTTCATAATGTTTGATGGGAAATTGAGTTATCGGGGAATTACATATATGGACATGGCAAACGTCAATGGGATTTATAAATATTGTGAACACCGCACCAAGCTCTGTCTTTTTGAGCTATGTCTGTCATGATTTCCCATCTGCTCTAAATGTTTAGACACACACCAAACACAAACTTATTAGACAAGTCCAGATGCTTGATGCTCATGTGATGTCAGAGCAAGTTAAACTGTCAACAACACTTTATCCATCTTGAAGGTTACTTCACTCAAAAATTTAGAAAGAAAAATATCACAATAACAAATTATCTATAGTAAAAACATCCGTGTGTTAAATCAAATGCGATTTTCATTTGAACGATACTAACATCAATTCTTTTAAATCCAAAGATCGATATTTTAGTCTATGACACTGCATCGTTTGGACCATGAATGAGTGAGTGAGTGAGTAGTTAGTTAGTTAGTAGCATCTTTCCTGTATCCATATTTTTAAGCTGCAGCTGCAATGAAAGGACTATTATGAGCCGGTTCTTTTTAGTAAATCAAAATACAAGAACATAACCACTGTAGACCGATTCCTGAAACGAATAATGCCCGATCTTCTATCCACCATACTTGCAACACGCAAAACAAGCCTTTTTATTTTTTGAATGCGCCAGACTTCAGATTCAAAAGCCGATTCATAAAGATAAATAACTAAAATATTTACCAAGTACAGTAAACACTAACATTATTTGCTATACAGTGTGTTCATGAATATGATGATAAACGAAAACATTATAACTATTTATCAATAACGCCATTTTAAAAGAAGCGAATGACACCGAAAGCCTCACAGGCTCGCACATTCAATTAACACATGGCCGGGCCCTTATTGCTCAACAAGACAGGTCTTGAAACAGTCTTTATCAATGCTTAGCCTAGTCATGGAAGAAACAAACCTTTTTGAAGCTTCGAATGAATTGAGCCAATGGCTTCTCAAAATGATTCACTGTTTCGAAGCGCTTGAAACACCACATGCTTGTGTGAAGCCTGCTGATGAAAACTGTGTATATGCAACAAAAACTCAGACCAAAATATGCATAAAATTGTTTTACAAATATATTTAAAGCAATTAGCAATCAAATACAATTAAATATAAAGTGTCTGTATAATTTTTGTTATTTTATTCAATTGCAGGGCTTGTTTTGCTTGTTTTATGGAGGCCTTGTCTAACCACGCCAATAAGAGACCATTAACCACTACTCTTCTTTTTAATTACACAAATGTCTCATTAAAATGTCCATAAATGTAAAGAACAACTGACCCAAGATCAAGTAAAAACCATAGATAGACACTTGTTCAATGGTTCGCTGCAACTCATTCATGAGTTCACAAAGATCGCCAACAAATCAAGAGACTTTGGTAGTTTCATACGCGCTCTGAACCACTAGTTCGAAACAAAATGATTCACATATAGGTTTCGAAGCTTCACGTATTTACAAAGCGCCCATCACTAACTCAGCTTTCAAGAGTTCAGTTTTTAACCTTTTGACCTATATGCAAGACATAAAATGTATTCCTTTTAAGCCACTACAGTGGCCCTTATTAGATTAACATTTCAACTAAAAACAAAACTACAAGCAAAAGCAGAAAAAAAACACTCACCTGGAAAGGAGCTTCCTTTGACTTTATTAATAGACACCTTGGCTTGTTTGTGTTTCACAGATTTGGACAGTTCTGGGGTAAATCATGGAGACATATTTCTTGAGAAACACCTAATGGCAATCTTATGAATCAAATACAGATGGGACATTTATGCAAAGCCAAGACATTTATAGTCTTTGTAAGGTGAAATTTGAATACCAAAGAAGCTCAGAGGGCATGAAATATCACCCAAGAACAAGTACATCTGTATACATTTTAATGAGAAGATCATTCAAAATCCCTCCATGCAGGCTACCTCTAAATCAATATAACAAAGAGTGAAAAATTTAAGGGGGTCTGAATACTTTCCGTACCCACTGTATGCACCACAGAGGGTTTACAACTACAAGTAGTGACATTAACACCCATCACCTTGCACAGAATATACACAAACATTTCCTAAATACATTTTTGGACACCAAAACTTCATCTATTGAATCAGTAGTGATCATGCAGCTGTGCAGTCTTTGTAAGGGGTGTTGGATCACCATCAGTAAACAATCTACCACATCTGTTTGACATAATCCTTCAGTCAACAACATTCTTGGCGGCTATAAAAACTGGTTTGTCTTTATTTGTCCAACTAAATGCACATCCATGTCACTCAGTCCACATGATGATGTCCAAACAGTTAAATTCAAGTAAATGATAATGAAGTCTCTACAGCAGTGCCATTAAATGGAACAAAATATCTAAGTGCAGCTGATTTTTTTAAATACCATTTTGATGAAGGAGTCTGTGCAGCATTTAGCGTGTTCATTAGTGCATTTAATTTTCCCTGCAGTGTTGGAGTAATTTTTTATTAATTCCATGGTGACATTGACAGGGGTTTTACTTTGCAAATTAATCAAATTAGGAGATCCCACCTCAAAATGACAAAGTGCAAGGTGTAGAAGGAAAATGCAGGGGTCTAACAAACAAATGTGAGCATTATTCATGGCAATCCAGATTTCTTCTGACCTGCTAGTTCACACATTCTGAGAACCGTGACTTACTTCTAACTGCTAGACCAAAATTACCCATGAAACACCAGTGAAAAATGCTTTAGGGAGAATTCTGTTATGCTGTTTTATGTGAGTGGGAGGCAGCCACTCAAATGTGTTTGTTCTACTACAAAAACCTCTCTAAAAATATCACTTACCATGCTTAAATTTTCCATTGCTCAAGGAAGCAAATTTACAATCTTGGGGGAAATACTGAATTTTAGATTTTACACCATCTTAAGACAGACATAATAAAGATGTACTTTTTTACTAAATAAAAACCATACCTAGAAAATTTTTGTGCTCCACACAAAAATTAACATTTTCTGAAAATTGACCCTGCCTCAAACCACCCAAGATGTAGATTGTTTCTTCAATGGAACATATTTGGAGAAACTTATCATTACATCACTTGCTCACCAGTGAGAGTCCAAACAGCTGGTAAAAACCATCATGACTCCAGTCAATCAATTAAAGGCTTCTAAAGTGAAAAGCTGTGTGTTTGTAATAAACAAATCCATCATTAAGGCATTTTAACTTTAAACTATCACTTCTGGCCAAAATACCAGGCGCTATCCATAATAATGCATCCTCCAGTGAAAAAGTCCATCCCTTGTTGTCTTATCATATTTGTTTTCACTTGTAAACAGTGCATATTTCTCTCCCGAGTCAGACAAGCTGACTTTTTCACTGGAGAAAGCAATATTATGGATAGAGGACTTCTATTTTAGCTTAGTACTTTAGCTGGAAGCCATGGTTTGAACTAAAAAAAAATAAATTCATAATGAATGTTTTTTTACAAACACACCGCTTTTACCTTAACAAGATGATAAATGATGGCCTGCAGCCATGTGAATTACTTGTGGATTATTGTGATATTTTTAATCAGCTGTTTGAACTCTCATTCTGATGGCACCCATTCACTGCATCTTGGATGGCCTGAGGTTAAGTTAGTTAAGCATATTTTCATTTTTGGGTGAACTATTCCTTTAAGGTTTCCAAAATTAGAGTTTATATCATAATTTTTTTTTAAAAAGAGAAGAAACTATGCGACTGCAATACACATCCAAATTCATTTAGGTTTATTGTGTGTTTATTTTAAAAATATACAAAATATTTCCCAGACCCATAGTAAACCAGACTGTTACTACGTTTTACTCCACATGGGGGAGCTGTGTTCTCATGGTGAGAAATATCTAAGTGGGTAATCTTGCATCTACATTTAAAACAAACACAACCCTCAATGGAGACATACAACAGACTACTATTTAGTATTTACATAAAGATAAACAAATACAATAAATTACCCCAAACCCCTACATGTGCTGAGGTTTTGAGAGGTTTAGCCTACTTCTGGGGGCAAATTCCCCAAAGTACAGCCAGTCCATTAGAAAATGCAGTTAAAAATTAAAATGAAGAAAAAAAAAAAAAAACACCAACTTAAGTGAATACAGCAATTTTTTTCCATAAATATTAAGTTAACATAATACATTTCCTTGTACAAAAATTAAGCACCTGTCCCAGAAAAAAACATCCTAAGACATTCATGACGACATGACATGTAATAAAATAAATAACCAAATTCCTGTCCTTCTTCACCAATAGTGCAAGATGAGTTCAATGCATCGGTTCCTTCAAGGACAGTTGCAGTACTGCTACCATTCACACAATGTCACATGTGAAGGGTGAAAGACACCTAGCACCTAGTGTACGTGGTAGATCTTTCCAGACAGTTCTGCTTTTTATGAAGGAAGAGGAGAAAAAGTTGCCAACACTTCTTTCATCTTATTTACTGATATAGCCAAAAACAGGGCCATAAATATATAAACACAACAAATGGTGTCTAAAATGGCAATGAAAATGATGTGACTGACATGAGTGAGGAGCTGGGAGGCTTCTGACTCTCCGACTCTAATCTCATTAAATAAAAAGGGGAAACACGTCAGTATGCAGAAAACAATGAGGGAAATGAGAATAAACAGGAGCAGCCCACAGAGTTCAACTCAAATGCCCAGCTGAGGGTAAAAGGCAAGATCCAGACCAGACTGCAACACAGTCTGTACAATAAAGTTTTTCCCAGGGCATCAAGATAAATGTTATGGTGTACATATAAATAGTCTTATAAAAATGTAGCCAAAAGGCGGTTTTAGGTAGATTGTCACTGCTGATTGGCTAGTCACACAGCACCAGTTATTCTTTCTTGGGGTGTATGTCATTGTTGTTCTGTTGCATGGTTGTGTTTTGCAGGCCTTTAGGAAGCCTTTTGCCTTTTGTGTATGCGTGGTACCAGAAGTTGAGGAAGAGGAGGAGGAAGATGATGCCATACAGAGCAATGATGTAGATGAATACGGGGTACTGGTAGGGACAGTCTTTCATGAAGAAGTACTGGCTAATATGTAAGGTTATGATGACAAACTGGATCTGAGAAGAGAGAGTGCAAGCAAAAATAAAAGTGTGTCAAATCCAATTCAAATAAGTCTAGTTGGTAGAATTAATGGCAAAACATTACATGGGACATTATTTTTAAAACCAGCTCTAAGTGACAGTGACAGTGAATGTCAGTCCAAAAAAAGAAAAACTAATTTAAAAACAAATAAAATTAAATGAAACAAATGAATAAAAATACAGAAATATATAAAAAATAAATAAAACAAATAAATAAATAGATTAATAAATAAACGTTTCCTCTACTCTGAAAAATGTCAGTGATCAAGAAATAGCATCAAAAGGAAATATAAAATGTTGTAATACATACAAGCTGTATTGAAGTCAAATGCTTCTTCCACCAGAAAAACTTCTGGTATGTAGGGCCCAGAGCTGACAATCCATAGTAAGTATACATGATGACATGAACGATGCAGTTTAGAGGGGCGTGAAGTGTCCCCAAACCACCTGCAACAAACAGATGTCTATAGGAAATTCATCTTTTACGTGTATTCATGCAATCGTAGAAGAGACAAATCCCTACCTGGAGAAAACCGGACTCCAAACCACCAAGTGAAAGGCATGATGGAATGATGGAAGACATGTAGGAAGGTCACCTGATTGTGCTTTTTCCTCAGCACAAAGAAAACCTGTCCAGAAGAGGCAGAGAAGACCCGGTGTTAACATCCGGTTTGTGCGATCTGATCACAAGGACAGCACTAAATACTGTAGGTGTAAATAGGGTGTAAAATGGCTGCGACCCAGTCATTTAAGAGATATATTGTAATTTGAAGTTTCAGTGAAAATCCAACGCAATCGTCCCATTTCTGTTACTTACAGACAGATGAGTCAAAATAATTTTCTGTGGTAACTGGTAACTTCTCTACAAGAAAAGCAAGCACCTCAAGGCAAGAGACACTAAAAATGCTTTCCACCTAACCACTTAACAGGAGTTTTGTCTGTGACTCACAATGCCACTATTTTCTTCCATTTTTCATAACCTGAGAGAACACTAATATTGCTGTCTGACAGTGTGTCAAAGATGTGACAGACAGCTAGACGCTTCCTGCCAAACTGTAGCATTTTAGATGTAACAAAACCAAGGTAATACATATGAAACACATTACTTACTGTGTCAAACAACTCAATAAACTTGGAGAAGTAATAGAGCCAGCAAGTCCATGCCATCTGGATACAGAGAAATGTAGATCAAGCACAAATGCCCAACAAACTATTAAATACAAAGCCTGTTATTTAAACTATACCAAACTTGAATGAATCACTAAATAGATATACAGATACAATGCATTACTCAGCACAGTGAGTGTATTGTTTAGTCAGAATGGTCCTGTGTATCATTTAAATCATGTGAAATCAACCACATCCAAGCAAAACACCTAAACCTGGAGCCAGGTTACAAGCTTCTCATAAAGCAGGTAAGGCAACATTTCTTCTGCTCTCACCCTCATGGCTTTTGGCGATCGAGAGTAGTCTACTAGATCACAGCCGAATGAATACCCTGTTCCCCAGCCTGACATCACAAACTGCAGAAAAAAAATTCATCTTTGGTCATTTAATCTGGAAATGAACTAAATGGTGCATTTACCAAAAAACAGATACTTCAAGAAACCCATGTTTACATTTATTACATTTTGATTTACACATTAACTACATGCACCAACAAAGTGCAAGTCAAGTGGGATAATGAACAAAAAACGGTGAGTCAATTGCGTTTTACTTAATCAGTCTGTTGTTTACTAAAAGGAACACAGATTAGGGTGTTTACTGTACATGAATTATGTACACCAATTATGCTAATAAACCAACAATGTGTAAGACTGGCATGTAAATGCACTTTATATACACATTTATAGGATATACACATTTTGTAGGATCCTACACTACATTATGTACAATTATATGGTGAAACCTCTGTTTAAAGACATTTACCCACCCTCACGACATACATTCTTCTGTAAAAAGGCTCATATTCTGCAGAATGTCTAAGCTGGTTTTTTTCCCATACAGTAAAAAGTTTTTTTCCATTCAGTTAAAAAAAAAAAAAAAACAGTAATTCATACCACCAATTTGGCCAACACAAAAAGCTCTAAAGATTTTAACCAATAATACTTTTCACTTTGTTCATTTCAGTTTGTTCTACATGCTTCAGAAGTCTTGACGTATAGCAAATGTTTCTTGTATGGTGCCTGGCAGTATGAATCACATCCACTTAAATTGTACATAAAAGAGCTTAAATTGTACATAAAAGTTTAGAACAACACAAGGATGAGTAAATTGTAATTTTTGTGTCACCTGAAGCAGACACTGATGTGACTAAACTCATTCCTTAATGTGTGACCTGAATGAAACTAACAGTGAAATGATAACATAACTCAATGGAATCTAACAAAACCCGTTCATAAAAACGTGTCTTTGTAAACTCCCGAGTAAAACACAACAACAGGTTTGCCTGCTAGCAAACAGAAACAGATTTACCTCATAACACATGTAAAGAGAATAAGCCACAACGCTGAAATTATAGATGATGAGGACCCTCTTCAGATCAAACGGTTTCCTGTTCTCCATTAACCTGGGCCCCAGTGACATCACAAAGTAGATGTAAAATGCAATAATAACTGTTTGGGGCAGCGGCGAGGACATGAGCAGCCAGTCTTCTGTCCTGGGGTCTGAAATCACATCATAAGAATATCTGCACTCCATGTAATGTCTCCATGCACAGTAACATCTATAGTGACTTCATTAGTTCGTGCATTAATCTATATTTGACACTGCTCTTGTTGTGCACCATAATTCTCTGAGATCAATAAAATACAGTAATGAAATGATTACATTTCAACAATATTAGGAACAGAATCAGTTGAGATCCACAAAGTAAGCCATTTGATTAAACATGCACTGATTGCTAGGTGGAATAAGTTACCAAAAACAGACTAGAGTGCAACAGTGCCAGCCCACTTCTTCAGCAGCGTTAGTTCGGGAAGTATTTATCAAATAGGGATTTTTAAAAAGTCTTTGTTAAATAGCGATAAGTGGTGATTCATTGTTAAAAACGATGGTGAAATATAAAACTATTGATTCAAAGATGCCAATTATGTATGGAGAAACAATATATTTTACATTTATTGTAAAATAAGCTTATATATATATATATATGCACAAATACTTAAACATCTTTTAAAAAGAGCACACAATTACGTGGGTGGGTGCAAAACGTTATTTCTCTGATTGAAAGAGATTTCACGGGTAATGTAGTTTTTCCCTTTTAAACATCCTTATTTTAAAAAATAAGATGAAATAATGTGACCTGATGGCTTCAACAAAAGCATATTACCATCAGTTAACAACCTCACAGACAGTAGGTCTGTCTTTAATACTTTTTAAGTTATAGTTTAAAAAAAATCTATTCCCCTACAGAGAAAATAATGCACTTTTTCTTTCTGAAACCTGACTTCTGCAGCCTATGGGAGTTAATGAGGTTTGAATGTGTGCGTTTGTACATTAATGTTTTGATTTTTTTTTGTCAGAAACCTTCTTACCTGCATCTTTCATCCACTTGTCATACAGCTGTGCAGCTGTAGATGTGAACTCACGGAACGCCATCACTGCCAGTGGTCAGAGCCTAAGGTCACAAACACAAAGTGTACGGTGTGATGGATGACTTATATTTAGGGCATTTAAAAGAAACTCATCCCATAAGTCAAGTCTGACACAAATTAAGTCATTTAACTTAAATGCCACATTATTCAGACTGAGTTTATAATGGAACAATCTTGAATTACACCTTCACGGTACTATTCCCTTCATGAAAGTGACATGCTGTGATGTAGAACCTAAATGCTCTAAAATAAAGCAGGAATGACTCGTGTATGGTGGCACCATGAAACGTTGTATTGTGGTAAGAAAGCACAAGAAGTTAAAATCAGCAGTTAGGCCATCCTCCATCCTCTCCAGCAAACTCAGAGCTGAACAAGAGGGCGAGTGTTGGGACACAATGGTTAGCAGTCAGTGTATGTTCAGGAAAGGACAGCCCATAAAACCATGGAGGTGGATAAACGAAGACATGCAGAGCTCAGAGAACAATGTGCACATTATTATGAATAATGAAACACATTATTTGTATTTGTATCTTCTTTTTGTAACAAAAAAATAAATATCACATATAAAATGTTGCATAAAACTGAACTGTTTTATAGGATACCATTTTCCCTGGTATCCATGCATACAGTACACACAAATAAAAATATCATTAAATATACGTTAAATAACAGGTTACTTTAAGCTGAAGGGCCCTAATAAAAAATTTTTTTTTTTAAACTAACTCGGCAGCTGTACATTAATTTTGGCATTGTTCTAGTGAAGCATCAACCAAAGCGTTTTTTGCCCCTCCCTTCAACACACATTTTAATGTTTAAAGAGAAACTAATTCAAGATGTGTTTCAGGGCATACTGGTCCAATTATCTGGAGAGAGTTACTTGCCTAGATACTGTAATCTTTAATACAAGCTTCAACGTGCCTGTTGCCATGAGACGGACAGGTTACAGGTGTGAGAGGAGGACACTACCTTCCCTCCACAGAAGTGCATTCAACACTGGGTGCCAATAGCTTAACTGCAAAGCTCAATACTAATCAAAACCAAACATAATATCTGAAGTTTTATGATGTTTGAGTGTGGGAAATGCTCTGTTGGCTTAGAGTCTTTCCATAGCCATAGGCAGAATTCCTTGTTGGTGAATTTTGAACAATTAATAAATACAAGGGAAAATAAATAAAATTATCTACATCACGAACAAGTTGATTTATGATGCCAGAAAATTTTTATATTGGCCATGCAAATGTATAAGTTCAATTCCAGTGCTGGATTCAGCTGAAATATAGTCTGGCTCTTAAAATCTGTGCATATGTGTGAATATATTACACTCTTTAATGACTCTAAATTTAAATAATAGTTGTGTAACCATTAAGAGAAAGATAATTGAAACACTTTCTCTGAACCTTGAGTGCACATAGGAGTACATTACCTAAAATACCTATAAGGTATAAACATCTTTAAAACTAAAATATCAAAATACATGTTTGTTACAAATAAATACGTTTAAATATAAAAACATTAAATAATTAAAAAAATATTTTTTGTGTGTGTGTGTACAACCACGTGCTTTCTAGGTTCAGTTATGCATACATTATTTTTTAAAGTCTGAAAAAACTCAAATATAAACACATATCAGATGTCACCTGTGGTCTAATAAAGTAGCTCCCTTTAGCTTAGTGACCATAAAAACAGTGTGACGTAAACACTGTGAAATAAACATAGTTTACTCATTAAATGACTCAAAATATTAAGTGGAAATACTGGAATTAACTCCAAGTGTTTTAACAGGGAAGATAGAATTTCCTCATCATTACAATAAATCACCATCATCATATCACATATGGACTTCACTAAAGAATGCAGGTGCGCGTCAACCTGTCTTACCTTGACAAAACAAACAAAAGTTCAGATATGTATTTTCACGCACACCTCGAGGTCCTCCCGCTCTGCGTTCACCAGGGCGCTCGTCTTCTGCCTCTCGTCCAGTTAAAGTAGTTTAAAAAGTAAAAGCTAATGGTTTGACCACAAGACCTCCATCAATTACTGTCAGACGCCGGAGTTCCGTCTTCACTGAGAGGAGCGGGCGGTGGGCGGAGACGTTCACCTGATTCCGAGACTGAGGGCTCTGATTGGTCAAATGTCGCATCAGGACTCGCAATACCTGCACGCCATTGGTTGCATGACTCCCATTTTATAAGGAAATGTATGAGATCAGATCAGAAGTGTTGTGCCAAATAATCGCGACAGATTAGGGATGTCACAATATATTGATTTCGAAAAGTTCCTTTATTTTTCAAGTTAGAAAAACAAAAACAGACAACAGTATGTATTAGCATAAATTCCACCGTACAAATGATACAGTGTCAGCATGGACCTTTGTTTTTAACTACATTCAATGTTTAAAGCTCAAAAATAAAGCGTAAACAGTTTGCTGATCATCTCACAGAAGTAAAAACAAATAGGTTCAGCACAATCAACAATGTTACACTAAATCGTGGTATTTATTTGTTCTAAAGATATGAGAACTTGTAGTCCACATATCTGAAATGCAATACCCGTAGAAGTGAAGTCCAAGACACAAGCTCAAGACAATGTTAAACGTAATATCCACAGGCAAATCAGTAGGTCACAACCAATGGAAGTACTCAACACCCATGAGTCTTTTTGATTTATTTTACAGTGACTTTATATGCACCCATCGATGCAATATTCAACTGAATGCAGTAAGAGCAATTTAACCTCTGGGGGAATGTAAATAGTGGTTTATTTGGATGTTAGAAAACAGAGCGATGGGTTCCTTTTTCTGTCAGTCTTCATCGCTGCTCCAGGCATCTACAAAAGCAGGATTGATAGCAGCTTGTGCTCCACCCTGTAAAAATATGCATCCAGAATATTCAGAAACATCAAACATTTAATCATTAATAGGCCTACGCGATTCAGTGATGTTTAATTATTGCTTAGATGATACAGTTGCATATATAAGTTTATGAACTTGAAGCTGTTATGGTGAAAAAAAAAAACTTTCAAAAATTTTAATGAAAACTATAAATATTTTTGTGTGACACTTTGAAAAAACTAAATGGTGAAAATATTTAGAATTCATATTTTTTAAACCTAAAAAGTTTTCAAATATATTTCTCAAACCACAATAATACAAAAAATAATAATAATACCGAAAAACTAATTAATAATAATAATAAACAAAAATATATTCAATTTATTAAAAAAATAAAAATTATATACTGTTGTGTAATTATTAAAGTTCTTCCAAATACAAGACTAAAAATAAAACTTACATCACTAAGCCATGTAATTGCTAATAGCTAATATGTGTATATCAGTGATGCAATAATACAATGCGATTATGAAAATGTGTACTAGATTTTTTGCCAGAAAAACTGGTAGAGCAGGATGTTAAACACAAAACATTGAGTGACTGATAAACTACAAGCTGTCAAGATGTGACTCCAGGTAACATGCACATCTCACGTATACCATGTCTGATAGCAACTGCACCTGAAAGCATGCCATAATGGGCATAGTTTTTGTCAGGACATCTGATCTTATCTATTGGCTGAGAGACATAAGCAAGGTTGCAAAATGTGTACATGTGAGCACAAATTAGGATTCACTTTCTGCCCCACCTAGCCCAAACCTGCAGATCTGTATAAGATATAAACAGCTGATCCATAGCGCATTGTATTTTTCATTAAGGTGCACCATTAATTCAATCAACCTCAGATTTTTAAATAAGAGCCGGTAAAAATACACAATATGTTTCATATTAAAAATGTCTCAAACTGTTTTACCCTTTTAGAGTTGGTTTCATCATCCTCAATGTCAGGCTGTCTCAGCACTGGGACCCAGGCCAGGACGTTACAGTCTTTACCTCCACTGTACAGCTCCTAAAAATGCACTCCACAGATTCACAGTCAACAATGAGTCTATGAGCTAATACAGATCTCATTAAGCCAAAATCATCACAATTAAAAGAACCAAAGACTTAAACTACACAAGTTTCACAATTTGAGTTGAATTACTGAAATAAATGAACTTTTCCACGACATTCTAATTTATTGAGATGCACCTGTAATTGCAAGACCTCAGAAGCTTTAAATTATTTTACTTAATGGTATACTTTTAGCTTGTTTAGTTTATTAGTAAAGACTAAACCACTAAGTAAGTCATCAGGATCAACATTACCTGATAGTCTGGGTGGAACTCACAGCAGTCTACATTATTATAATGTCCCCTCAACATAGTGATCAGCTCTCCCGAGTGAAGCCCGTACACCGCTACCGAACTGCCACATGGCACAAACACAAACTCCGGACTGCAGCCCCTCGATACGGTAAATTTGAGGCCTTTGCGACTCTCATTCACGACTTTCCCATAGTTCACCTGTTAATGAGAAATAAGGATTTCTTAGCAACAAATTAACAGCTTAGCAGATAAAAAAAAAATGCATCACCATTTTTTTAAAGAACATATTTCTTGTCATTAATAAAGAAAGTGTTTAAGAAAACATGTGAGTGTCTTCAGATGATTGTATCTTGTTTTCATGTTTTCAGTTGCTTTTTTGACCCACAGAAGGCCAATAACACAGTCATGAGTGAAGACATTCCTTTTGCTGCATGAACATAGGCTCAAAATATAATTCTTGATACTCTTTACAAAACAGAGATTAGGTATTATGAAAGTCTTCAAACAGCCCTAACTGCTACTCACTAATGTGTTTTCCCCTGTGGCACTGTTCCACAGGCGCATGCGATCATCTGTCCCAGTAGTGAGCAGATGAAGTCCGTCAGCTGTGAAGCACAATCCATTCACTCGCCCATTGTGTGCTGTGTTCACTGGAAGAAAAGTAACATAATATATTATATATTTTTTACATTTTATTTTGGGGCTGTCAAATCGATTAATCGTGATTAATTACATCCAAAATAAAAGTTTGTGTTTACATAATATATGTGTGTGTGTACTGTGTGTTTATATATTAACACACATACACTCTTAAGAATAAAGGTGCTTCAAAAGGTTCAAGCGATGCCATAGAAGAACCATTTTTGGTTCCACAAAGAACCATTCAGTCAAAGGTTCTTTAAAAAAACATCTCTTTCTTACCTTTTTATAATCTGAAGAACCTTCTTTCGCCACAAATAACTTTTTGTGAAACAGAAAGGTTCTTCAGATGTTAAAGGATCTTTATGGAACCATTTAGACAAAAAGGTTCTTCTATGGCATTGTGAAGCACCTTTATTTTTAAGAGTGTACGTGTATATATTTAGCTTTTTTGACCCACAGAAGGCCAATAACACAGTCATGAGTGAAGACATTCCTTTTGCTGCATGAACATAGGCTCAAAATATAATTCTTGATACTCTTTACAAAACAGAGATTAGGTATTATGAAAGTCTTCAAACAGCCCTAACTGCTACTCACTAATGTGTTTTCCCCTGTGGCACTGTTCCACAGGCGCATGCGATCATCTGTCCCAGTAGTGAGCAGATGAAGTCCGTCAGCTGTGAAGCACAATCCATTCACTCGCCCATTGTGTGCTGTGTTCACTGGAAGAAAAGTAACATAATATATTATATATTTTTTACATTTTATTTTGGGGCTGTCAAATCGATTAATCGTGATTAATTACATCCAAAATAAAAGTTTGTGTTTACATAATATATGTGTGTGTGTACTGTGTGTTTATACATTAACACACATACACTCTTAAGAATAAAGGTGCTTCAAAAGGTTCTTCAAGCGATGCCATAGAAGAACCATTTTTGGTTCCACAAAGAACCATTCAGTCAAAGGTTCTTTAAAGAACCATCTCTTTCTTACCTTTTTATAATCTGAAGAACCTTCTTTCGCCACAAATAACTTTTTGTGAAACAGAAAGGTTCTTCAGATGTTAAAGGATCTTTATGGAACCATTTAGACAAAAAGGTTCTTCTATGGCATTGTGAAGCACCTTTATTTTTAAGAGTGTACGTGTATATATTTAAGAAATATTTACATGTATATATTAATCATATTAAAATATGAATATATAATATATAAATATATATTACATATATTTCATAAATATATACACGTGTATGTGTGTGTATTTATATATACATATAAATATACTGTACACAGTAGACACACACTATGTAAACAGACTTTTATTTTGGATGCGATTAATCGTGATTAATGGAGCCATATATGAAGGCCAACAATTCACTAAAAATGTTTTTTTTATTGGTCTTATGAAGTATTCTAATTTGTTGAGATAGTGAATTGGTGGGTTTTTGTTAAATGTGAGCCAAAATCATCACAATTAAAAGAACCAAAGACTTAAACTACTTCAGTCTGTGTGCATTGAATTTATTTAATACACGAGTTTCACAATTTGAGTTGAATTACTGAAATAAATGAACTTTTCCACGACATTCTAATTTATTGAGATGCACCTATATATAAGAAAAATATTTGTATTGTACATATACAGGGCTTAAAGTTCTCCGGCGTGCAGCGTTTGGCTGCGTAAAAAAATAATCCTACATTTAAAAAAAACTTGTTGATATCACTTTCGAGTCCATGAGTTCGCCTACCAATGGCATGAGAGGAGCACAGCTTACACTCTCAACCAAACCAACATTTAGCCAATCAGAATATGTTGCTCTTATAAACACGAGACGCGCATTAGTATCCAATTGCAGAGTCGCAGCCCTAATGAATGGAGAAGCGCGACAAAAAGCTGCGAGGCGCAATGGTCAAAGTTGTCCATCTAACGCATGTTTATATAGAAAAACTAATTAAAAAGCAGCGGAGCTTTGTAAACAGCTCAGAGTAATCGTGTCATCTCCATAAGAGCGATATGATTGCCAGAACAAATTTACCGGGATTTTTGAAAAGGTCCTGAATCACACATGATCTCTTAATGGTCATTTACCAGTGCTGTATGTGTGAAAGGGGCTAAACTCTTCATCTGCATATGCTGTGAATTTGAATTGCTTACGTTCATCTGGGAAAACGGTGCATTATCTCACTAGATTTGTAACGTAAATCATTCATAAACCTCTGCCAACACAGGACAATACATCAACCTATTTCTAAATATGCCATTTGTTGTACATAGCGATTTCAAAATAAACGTTTCTGAGTTT